GTCTATATCCTTCTGATGTTGAGGGCTCCACAGCTGGATGCAGCACTCCAGGTGGGGTCTCTACTGAAAGCAGTACTGCTTTCACATCTGCGGTGCTCACCGCTTTGGTAACATACATTGCAAATGCGTTTAAAACGTCTGCAATTGTCCTTGCCCAAAGCATGAGATTCACTCCACCACTAAAGAAGGTTAAGCAGGTTCTTTTACTTAAAAAATCAAAAAGGCTTCCCCTTTGCTTTACTTGGTGCCTTTCTTCCAGCATTCGTTAATTTTTATTTCTCTCACCAGTGTTTTGTCTGAATAAACCCTTCCATCTGTGCTCCCTGAGCACCCCTCTCCCAGGCACGCCAGCCACGTGCTCTGCAGGGTTGGTCCAGCCTGCATTCCCCACCGAGGTGCTGCCAAAAGATGTATGGGTACGGACCACCACCGTGCCCTCCCCGCCGCCGCTCCTCCGTCTGCCCTTACCCAAACCACACTGTGCAGGCACGCATCCTGCCCTCGGGACCCTGCCTGAATTCTGCCGGCGGCCGGGCTGAAGCAGACTCACTGAGCATGACACTCTCCTACCTTATTTCCTTGGACGAGCATTTCTGTGCAAGTTTTCTTTGTACAACATCCTCATTAAACCTCTTCATTGATTTTTCTGCATTTAATAACCTCTAGGGACCTAATTTTGTACGAGAACACCCTGTTGTAGAACTGTTTCATTTAGCTATCTGGTCCATCAGCCAAGAGGCAACAGAAGCTACCGTCTGCCTGCAGCAGTGCCACTCCTCCTACAAAGAGCATGCTGGACCGCACAGACAAAATCTGTGGGAACTGAAAGACTCCTCAAGCTTAAGTTGTAATGTCCCACGACTGCTTTAAGGCTTGGCCCAGCTGTCAGTCCAGAATCAAGAGAAAAATGATATATGAAAAATGAAGTTTACCAAAACATATTCTGTACAATTATAATAAACTTTAGTATGTTGCCACATTTTATAAATTCTGAAGAAAAGCACTCTTTGCAGCTGAAATCTGTAACACTGTATTAGTCACACAGCCATCATATAAATCCTATTACCTGCTCCTGGGCTGTTACTTTAGTTATTTAATAATAATTAAAAAAGGTTTAATCTTTGCCATAAAAAGTGAAAGGAGATCAAAGCAGGCTGAAGAATGAATAGAAAATACTGAACACTTCACAAACACAGTGAGCCAGCATGCCGTAACAAAAGAATCACAGTAAATCTTCCATCTCTCTGCCTGATTTCATCCATTCCCTGGCCAAGGAAGTCAGTACTGAAAAAAAACAAACCAAACCAAAACAAAAAAAATACCACTAACAAACATAAGTTATGTCCATCTTCCAAATATCCTTAGCTTAAATAGAAAATGTATACTATGTTTAAACTGGCAATGTACTCATACCATTTGTTCCTAAAAATTCTTTGTGTTACTAAAAGTTTACATGTTACTGAAGTGCCAGAAAGCACATTTACATCTTTAGAATTGCCTCTTGCTCTCTGCAAACAGTATTCCATTATATTTTCTAGTACACAGCTGAATACAGCAGCTGTGAAATTCA